GAGGAAGCATATCCGACATTAGATCTCTATTCACTATGTATTATGTATTGTTATGTATTGCAGTAGTATTAACATGTAAGTAATGAAATAGAAAACGACATAAAAAATGACTTTTTAGACAAGCACTGGAACATGTTTCTGTTTTTCAAAACTGACACGGTCAGTTACTACACTATTGCTTGCAAGAAAGAGATTGGATTTTAAATGAACGCCGCCCTCGTGTAAATACCGCACTCGAATCGCACAAAATGTAATAGGCGACGCGGCGTTTAATCGAATAAATACGGTAAGATAATTTCCCGGCCGTCGCCTCCCCCCTGCAAAAAACACACCCACACTCTGTTCTTTGATTCTTCACTCTGTCAGTAGCTCTTCTTAAATCGCAGGGAAGATTAAATTGCCAGCGTTTATTTCATCATGGATCTATAATGTTGGGAAATGAAACAGCCAAAGAAACAAAAAAAAACTTCAGGAATTTTTATTTCATAAAATTTTGCGGAGTGCTGTTTCTTGAACAGAATGACAAATCGTTATAAGGAAAGGGAAAGGAAAGAAGTTTAACTATCTTGTGACGAGCGTAGGACAAAGGAAAAATTTTGAGTCCTCACCAGGAGCAGAACCTAACACCTTCAGATTCCGCGCTCGGACACTCTACCACAAACATAATATAAGTTATTAAAACGAAAGCTTAATATGAAATTTCTTTACTTGATAATTATAATACCTGCTACTCTTCTACGTTTATTTTCTGAAGGATCATCACTTTTGAAACTCTCCTCTCCAGTTGAAATGTCTGCAAAAGAGAAAAGAAATTTATACTGTTATGAGAATTAAAATACACTTCACTACATTTGTGAAATGGGTAACAAGGAGGAGTCGAAATAAGTGCTGATCGAAAACGAAAATCTCATATGAGCCCACTCACGAAATAAAAGAGAGAAGAGAAACGGAGTCGGAGAATTGAAATTCATTGGAACGGAATAAAAGCTAAGATTTAGATCTCAACAAAGTTTTAAACCGGTCAGTAACAGCGAAGATTGGTGGAGAGGTGAACAAAGAAACTTTGGGTTCATCTTACTGCGCACAAGAGTCTGGACACGAAAACAATAATTAGGAGGGCAGGGGTAGGGGGGTGGTTGATAAGCGTGTTTAATCAACGATTTGTAATACCTACAACCTAAGACGAAAAACAAAAGATCTATGATTAAGTAAATACAATGAAGACGCAGAAAGTGAGCAATTTCTTATGAACACCCTCTAATCTGTAATTTTAGAACGTTATCCATGACTTCAAAATTTGTATAAACTATTAAAGTGAATTTGTGCATATCTCAGACTGTAAGTTTTTCTCCACAGCGATGCAATTGAAAATAAAAGAACGCGTATATTTATCAGTTTTCCGATATATATTTAATTTGACTGTTGGTCTGCATGTTCTCATCATCAGATAACGACATTTTATATAAATGAAAACAAGCAAGTTACAAGATCTCTTGGAAGACACAACCAAAGCTGTTACAAAAATGTACACATGCATTTTGTACATGTACACTCTTTACAGGGATAACCTCAGGAGTCTCTCTCTCAAGTACTATATATTTGTGTTTGAATCAAGAGTTATTATCATTATTATTTTTATAATTATTATAATTACTGTTATAATTCCATAGAACAATTTTAATAATAGTGTTAGAAGTATGTCATTTTGTAACTCCTTTAAGATTCATAAGTTCAAGATTCCTGTAAGTTAGCACAAGGAGGAGGAAAAATTCATACTTTATGGCTTCAATTTTGTCTGCAGGAAGTTCATTCCACTTTTCATTATTCTTAAAAGAATTGTTAAGGAGAGCAAGGGTGGACTTAATTCTCAAACACCAGGTCTTGTCTTAGGTTGCACTCAGAGTGGATTTCCCCAAAAGTTAAATAATAACCTCAAGTTCCATAGTCTTTCTGTAACAATAAATTGAGGGTCGTAACAAACCCTAAGATAATATTTGTTACCAAAAGCTAACACCCAAATATGCATAAAACCAAGATAAGCCACCTGTATTCTTTTTTTTTTTCCAAACTGCCCATTATTCATGTTTCACTCTGCTACCTGACTTAGACTTTGCTTTTGCCATCTGTCTGCTTCTATGTAGTCCAATAAGACCCCCTACATTTTCTTCTCTTTTGCCTTCATCAAATAACTGTGTATGCAGGTATGGACCTCAAAGGAAACACTTCATTCTATTTCCTGCGATGGTCTATGAATTAGCAAAGTTACAGTTTGCAGAATTTTAACTTTGATCCCAATTAAAACACAGGTTTATGAATAAAGAGATTTTAATGACCTGAATGCAAGTCAATTCATCTACTTGTCAATAATAAAATTTGAGACTAAAAATTTGCAAACTGAAAGATGAATGCAAAAGATACTGAATGAAGTGCTCTTAGGTCCTACATGTCAGGTCTTACTAGTAGCTTTTGGTGACCTTAGGCTGTCCTGGGTACAGCCACAAATTTAGTCAGACCATGCTGGTCAGGTTTATTTGATCAGCCAATTAAATTAACTCAGTTTTTTCCTGTCACTAAGATAATCACTCCATGCTGTCTTCTTCCCATAAATCATTGGAGCAAGATATTAACATTTATTTTGTTTGATAAAACAATAACATCATCAATAGAATCAAGGTATTAATAAAGAATTGCAATTATTTTATCATGTCTGAGAAAACAAAATAGTGTCAATGATATTATGATTGGTACATTACTGGAAGTTATTTATGATTAAGAAAACTAAACAGTTGTTACTCTTTTGGATAGAACTTAACCCTATGGCCCCAAAGAGTGACTAGCATCTAATTTCTCCACATAATATCACTCCCAAATCACTCATTAAGGTCACAAGGATAAAGGAAATGATTACCAGCTAAAGAGGCTCTTGATTATTCAACAAACTCTCTTGGTCTTCACCTTAGGAAATGTATAGAGAACAGTATGGAGAATACAGAGACTAATGTCAGGGTGTATAGGGTTCATGTTGGAGCAATTAACCCACTCAAAACAAAACAGACACACAATTACAAATTAAATATCCAAGATTGGGAGCTTACAATGTTATTCACCTCAGTTCACTTCTTAACACATTTATTATATCTCACCCATGCTGCCACAAATTATTCCTGTTTTCAGAAACTCAGATCCTGTTACCTTTTATGACAGTTATCTGATTGAAATAAAAATCATATTAACACATCATTTAGCACACAAAAATATGCCTGACAATCCTCAAGATTTTACATTAATATAAATGAGCTTGCCAAATTTGTATATTGTTAATAAATTTTTCCTCAAATGTCTAGGTTCAAATTGTAAAATTACATGTAATCTGTGCTTATATAGTTTCTTTTAACACCAATCATCATCATTTCCAGGTAATTGGTACAAGTTGTACCTTCAAGTAATATTCACAAATTTACATTATCATGACATTTGATACCAAACAAGTCTTAAAAGTTAAAAAAACTAAATCAAACATAAAAAGCAAATGTACTGTAAATGCTTTCTCAAAAATCTTATGTCTGACTAAGAATTATTGACAGGAAATTGGACTGACCTCAGTTAAACATAAGTTTTGCTTTTAGTTCATTTTCAGTATGCTGTAAATCTCTCCTGAGTATTGAGTATTGAAGTGCTGAGCTTTTCAAAAATAAAGTTCACACTGGCTTTGCCCGTGTTATTATAAATTATTCTAAAGAACTGACAGAAGCACAATTAAAGCTACGACTGATGTTCTGACTACCTTATACACTGGTACTTTAAAACTTTGATTTGCAACTTTATTCAACAAAGTAAAAACTCAAAGCTTATTGCAATGACATTTCAAATTTTGAAGCATAACCACCATAAGCTATTTAACAATGGAAAGTTATGAAATGCACCATTTGGCAAAAACTATTTCATTGCAGCTTGATCTAATTGTAAACCGATGGGGGTGGACAATTTCGAATGGACAATGTCTCTTTAAGTGAACAAAAGTAAAAAGGTTTGCATTAATATTCTGTTTACTTAACAATGAAACCTCACTGTCACGAGTTGATTATTTCACCTCATTCTCAGTCCACTTAATTTACACATGATTTTTGTTCATTTAAGCTTGGATTGGTGCTAGTTTTTTGTTATTGCCCTGATCAAGCAAAATAGTTTATAACTAGGGCAGTAAGTGAAGCAAATCTTTTTGTATTTTTGATCCATGCACTGAGAGTTTAATCTAATAATGGTAACTTAGTTTGGTATGTTTATGACCATTGCTTTAGAAGTCGTGGAAATACAAGTTTGATTGATCAGCTGGAGCGTTAGTAAATAGCTCACTTTAAAGGCTGTTCATCATACCTGCTTTGACTAATTCTCTCTATTTCAGCTGTTGCTATCAGAAAATCACTTCACCCTTGATTGACAAGCACAATAACAGACTGATCAGAGAGTTGGAGGGCAATGTTGCTACCCTGTAAAAAGGGGAAAAATTAAGAGTTTTTATTCAACAAGAACAAAAAAAAACAATTTGAAACTGTCTTCAAATTAGTCATAAATGGTACTCACCTTGTGAGTGAAAGTGGTAAGAGGTCACCCCCGATGCCTTCAGTTGTATCAATATATCTTTCATATAACTATTAACATATAATGAAGCTCTCAACAAATAAGAACATGTCTCATACTAATACTGCATTGATGAATGAATTTTTTCCATGGAGATTAAAAAATTACCTAAGGAAAATAAACGTAAGCCCAGAAGACGATGGTAATCGTTACACATTCAAGTGAATGGTATTTTACAGACACCTCTCGTTTTTGGTTGCTAAGGAGCTGATTTTCAGGTCAAACGACATTCATGTGTAAGATGAAATGGTACAGAGAGTTGAAAGACTTTCCTGGAAAAATTGGGGTTGCTAGAGGTTTTATCGCAAATTCCATTGAGGGTAAAGACTAATTTTCATTCAAGGTAAAATCAGATTAACCTTCAACGTCACTACAAAATAACTGTGGTTTGTTTCAAGATATCACGGAGAAAATCTTGTCATCGTATTAAAAAAACGAGGAGCTTACAGCGGCTGATAAGACTTAAAATAGTTCAAGAAATGAGATTTTAACTTTTAATTAACATGAATTAAAGATTAACAGTTAAAGAATAGCTCACCTTGATATCCGCGTTCTCCGGTCGATCGACGCGGAAGTGAAGATTGTTGATGTTGCTGTAACTGATTCAAATTTCTCACCAAACACGAGCCAAGATTACATTTTTATCTTTTTCGATGTACTGATTTACCTTTAAAATTCCAAGGAAGTCTTATTACCATTAAAAGTCTGAAAAAGCACGGCAATTAGAGCTTTTCTGCGTGCATGATCTAGAGTGTGCTCAACAAAGTAGCTAGCGATCATTCCCATCACTCCCTGGGATCTTTTCCGAGGAATCTGGGGAGAGGTGATGTTTTGCGTGACTTATGTGACTGGCAATTTCGCAAGTCACGCGACCCACTTGTCGGGGGGAAAACTGATCCTCCGCGGATTTATACCCCCCCCCCAAAAATAGTATTAATTAACAAATATGATACAAACGCCGCTTAAAAGGAAAGTTTGATGGGGGAGGGGGGGTGTCCATATTCGCTAGCGGATTTGGACGGGGGGGGGGGGGTAGGAGGTCCAAAATCCGCTGTAACACCGGTACGGATCATGAGGCCAACGACATTGAATAGTAAAATCTCCTCGATTTCGACGACTTCGCGTCCATTGTGATCATACGGCTACACCCTTTGGAAAGTGGTGTATAGAAATATCCGGTATATGTGTATTAATCTTGTAGCTAACATCACTTGGGGCCCTGGCCACGCAATACGTTCGTCCTTTCCTCTTGATTTCTCCTCTCTCCACCATACTTCTCCGACGTGTCTTCACAGTTTTCTACGTTACCGCAATGTAACATGATCGTTTTGGCCGCGCGCTTAATGGAGACACTTTTTGGTCGCCAAATCGCACTTTCAATGCGCAAAAAAATGGTCAAGGAGAATTTGCTAAGCGCTAAGGTCGAATGCTTCTAATTTTTAAAAAAGCTATCAACCAGGAAATGCATTGGCACTTTAAAAGACTTAATATATGAGTATCAGGAGATAAAGTCAGTATCTCACAATGTGTACCGTGTACATGCAGCCACAATAGCACATGTCACCTAAGGAACAATTCAAGTTTCTCAAACAAGAATGATATAATATAACCATGACTTAACTGTAACTCACTTGACAATTTTGAGAGTACAACCAATACAGTACTATGTTAAATTATTTTACATTTTAGAGTTATGGAAATACTTGTCAAATACAGTTTCCCTTCTTCCACCAAACTCAACTGACTCTTGAAAGCTCTGACGACTGAATGTCAACCACAATGCACTATTTACGTTAATATCAAATGGAATATTTAGAAATTTAGTGACAAATTAACAAACAGCTAAATTCATTCACAGCGTATGTTGAATGCCATGAAAATAAGAAAAATATTGATCCTAAATCATGAAATTGATATTCACATTGTTTTTTTGCTTTTAGTGAAGACTTCAATGTATAGTTGAAGTTTTGCTCTTTGCCACATTAAAATATCTATGATTTTATGAAGAATTGTTGCATTGAGGACTTCTTACATTTGTATCAAAAGAAATGACAGTCAGCCTAATGAATTAATTGATTGCCTAGGAAGCTAATAACCAAGCCTAATAAACTAAAAAAATTACAAAAAATACCTCAGTCTCTAACTCACCAACATGAAAACCAGATTTTGAAACTCAAAGCTGTCAGTCAAAACTACAATCAACATTATTGGACAACGAAAAATAACCTAAAATCAAAATATATCCAAATCCAACAATCAATTTCAAGGACAGGACACTCTGACTCCAAAGAAAACTCCCACATGTTCTCAATAATGTTGTGGAAGGGAGTTCCCACATTAGTGAAGGTATCAGTTTACCTTAGCTAAGTGATTCTAAACATATATTTCCTTATCTTTTATCCGACCACTGATTGTTTGTACGTTTGATCACAACACTGAAGTCTCTTACCATTGATCAGAAACCTACAAGACCAACCAATCATCTTGAAATGTCCTTTATTTAATCAGGTTTCCTAAACTTGTTTTCAAATTTTGTTCAAAACGATGGATACAACTTTAAGGTATTGACTTCTCTAACTGAACAGATCTGAAAGAATTCTATCAATGGATAGACTGCTCTGGCCAATGGTAAGTTTCCTTAGTTTCAGGTGGTCTACTGAGCCAGTCCTGGTCAGTTACGTTTCCAGGCAGGATCCAGGCTCTTCCTCGTCACTGGAGTCGGTAACTGACCCAGGATCTGACTCTTCTTCTGATTCGCTCCAATGATCTCCCCAGTATTCATCTGTTGGCCATTGTTCTTCAGGTTTGACATTCCCTTTCTCATCCTGTGATAAATCACAAACCAACAATCAACATTATCTTGTCAAAGAACATACACCTGAACTCCAATTTGTTTACCCTTGATACATTTTATACGAAGAGATATTATGCCATGAGTATGTTTGACCGAGTCAATTTAAAACAACTTTTATATTAAGGAACGTTCCTTGTAAGCAAACATCACAAGGCTCACCAAAATTTAGATATATTCCAATTACATCCATGGTGGGGCCCATACTGATTAGGTTATTAGAGAAATAAGCTGAAGTGTGCATGAACACCTCTCCTAGAGTCTTATAGGTACTTGACCTGACAAGCCCATGCAGAGAATACAACTAAAGGTAACCTTTTGAGGAAAAGACTCAGAACAAGGAACTGCTGATGTCTCCTCTTTAAAGGTTATGAATATTTACTTAGTGGCTCATCCACAGCTAGTACTCATTTCCAAACTTAGGAAACTACAAAAGTGGACATTACTTGTGAGCATTTCAAATGCTGCAATATTTTTGTAGTTCAGCAGCTCATCAGCTTAGCAGTCTGCTTAGTAAGTTAATATAAAAAAATTAATGTAAAGACATATCACCAGTAAGGGCAAGTTTGATTCAGACAGATGTAACCTTCATTATTATTTTTACACAAGCTGATTAACAAGAAATTCTCTGGATAGAGTAGGATAAAAACATAATTGATCAAAGAAACTGCAAACCATTGACATTAGAGAATCTCTGCCTGCAAATTTGAACCAGTATCTCTCTTACAGTGGTAGCATTCTTTCTCTACTACTTTTCAAGTGGAAGCCCTTGGTCATTTCTTTTCTAATCGAAAATGTTCCTGGTGACTTCTGGTTAAGAGGGAGAAAAGGAAAATCTGTGTAAAAGGAAGTTTAAGGGAAAAAATTCTGCGGTGCCTTTACAGCATTTTTTCAAAACCTAATTGATATAATAAACCACTGAGTTAATCAATCAAATAAAATTTACAGATTTATGCTAACCTTCCTTCTACAAAACTCCCAAATACTATTCCAGAAGCTCTTTCTAAGGGAATACTCAGGTATTAAAATTTTTTTCTCAGAGCATCCAAAAAAACACCACATTTCCTTTGAAGTTTAGCTTATCCTCCATCAGAGAGAAGCTTCAGCTTTAAAGTGTGACATTGTTTAACAACTCCTAAGAGCTGTAAATAAAACAAAGTGAAAAAACTAGGGTCTCAAGTCATTTCTTAGAGACAGATGCTCAGCTCATGGTAAGTACAAGCAATTGTTTACTCCCTCAATTCCTGTTTCTCTTACAGAAATCAAGACCATTATCCGAAGGAAAAAAATAGCTAAACGAATAAACAAAAGTTGAAAACCAGTACTAGCAGATTTCCTAAATTTTAAGACAAGTTTAGAAAGTAGCTCTTTGATCTCTTCCAAACACTGACATTAATTTTTTGACATTAATATCTGAAACACGCGGCCGTCCTCACATTCACGCGCACAGAGTGGTAACGCATTTACTTTCGTTTTACTTTATTTTCTCCTTTTTCTCTGGTCCTAATTATAAAAGGAATAGATTTATCGAGGTTAATGCGATGAATTAGGAATGGAGTGTATCCAGTTTCTGTGTTTCCACTGTAGACACACAAAATGATATTGTTTAAGACACTCAAAAACACACAACACACTTCAGACTTCGGTAATTGTGAAGAACAGCTCCCCTCACCGACAGTTGGCCGACTGTTGGTTATCTGTCGGCCGACTGTTGGTAATCTGTCGGCCGACTGTCGGCCGACTGTCGGCGATCTGTCGGCCGACAGTTGGCCAACTGTCGACCAACACCTTACCGACAGTTGACCGACAGATTTATTTAGATTTTTCTGAAAAGATAACTTCCTGCAGGATATCTGTTGACCAACAGTCGACCGACTGTCGGTTGACTGTCGGTGATCTGTCGGTAAGGTGTTGGCAATCTGTCGGTTACTTCATGCCGATTGTTGCCTTAAAAGGTGTGTGATTTACAACCCTTGATAATTGCATCGAAAAGATAAAATGAAACTCTCAATAGTCGCTGGTTCTTTCATGTTAGTTAAGCACAATTTCTAGGCAATTTCTCTTCCAACACTCACTTCGACTCTCGGTTCGTTCGCCATTTTGGATTTTTAACTTTGTCTAAATCCCCCTCTGAATTTCGCACGGTCTCAAGTAAATCAATTCACGTTGTTATGACTTTATTTTTATTGGTGGCTCCTAAAGGAGCCGTTTGTGTGTTTGGAGAGACATCTTTAATCGTAAAATCGATCATCGAATTTGAGCGGCAACAGCTGTCCCTCTCGTCGCATGTTTGCTTTAGCTGGCAGGTGTCGCCGAAGTCTTCTCCTGCAGACTGTTTCTAGGTCTTTAACAGATCCCACGCTTATTTCTCGTGACGCCGATTCGAATTCACGCTCATCCACGATTCGTAATTCAGCGATGGCGATGAAATCTCGGAGGGCGCTGCGGGGGCAACCGGCCAGCCGAAACGCATTTGCCATGCTACAGTTGTTTTCCTTAAGGATTTGTAGCACCCTCTGGTATCTTGTGTGGATTGCATTGCATTATAGGGCGATTCTTAACTGCACTTTTCGATGGAGAATATTAACACACTTTCGTTTAATGCACAGGGAATGTTCGTGTACCCTTAAGTTTTAGTGGCATTTTGAAAAATTTAAGCATTTATAGTAAGTTTTACATCGATTTTTGAGTGCAAAAATGCACTAGTAAAGTTATTTCACCGTCTGTCGCTAACCTGTTGGTTACCTGTCGGTGGCCTATCGGTTTAGTGTCGGCCAACTGTTGGCCGACAGTTGGCCGACTGTCAGTGGAGGGGAGCTGTTCTTCACAATTACCCAGACTTCACCCCTCCTCAAACGTAAACAAAAATACTTAAATTGGCTCTCATCTTAACTGAAAAAAATGACTGGCTTTGCTTGCGAGTTTAACAAATTAAATGGTAGCGACAAAGAGTGACTGTATAATGTTCTAATGCATGTAAGCCTTTTCAGTAATTCGGGAATGTAAAACCTTTTAATTGAAATCGTTAAAATCATCAAAAAGCCACAACATTTGCTTCGCTTTGGGTTTCCTCTCTTACGGACCGTTTGCGAGTCGGCTTGTTGCGACAAAATACAAAAGAATGTTATGAAAGCATGATTAAAACGGAACGAAATTGAGCTGCGAATTACCCTTTGTCCAGCAATGCAGATAATGGACTGGGCTTTTCCTTTTTTTTTTTTTTTTTTGGGACTGGGGATTCTTAAAGAATCTAAAGAAGATGCTCCATTTCAGTTCAACTTTGACTGTTGCCCGCACACGCGTTTTTCGGAAATGCGCAAGTGTCTCTTGTGGCTTGGAGATAAATAAATTGCAATTGCAAAACAACACCACAGGAAATTGAACAAAATCTATAAGAATTATGACTACATTTGTGCAAACTAAGATCACAAAACTTACGTGGTATTGTGTGACCAACCAGGAGATGTTACTCTGACGTACAGCTGCACTCAATTCATTCACTTGCTGCTTTGTCATTTTAACATCAGAAAGCTTCAGCCTCTCCAGGTGAGGAACACGGCTGAGATGTTGAATAAGAACACTTACTCCTTCACCAAGAGGGTTCTCTGACAAGTCGAGCCATCGCAGGCAAGGAGCCTGGTGCAGAGATCTGGCGATGACTGCGGCAGGTTTGGCTGTTAAATTGATTCTAACAAGTACTAATGTGACAAGTCTGTCAGAGAAGATGATACGAGACACCAGGGTCTCTGTCAACTGAGCAGCAATGATTTCAAAGGGTTTACCAAAAATACTTATCCATCGCAGAGCAGTGAAAAGTGGTAAGAAATCAGCCAGCATCTTTATCTCTTGCCTTTCTATGTGGCAAATATAAATCTGCTTCACACAGGAAAGGCTCTGAGGAGTAGGACCAGTGATGCTATCAGTGTTCTGAGTCAAACTCGAAGCTGTTTCGCTGTCGTGTTCATTTAACGGATCAACAAGACGCGTCACCTGAGTCGACTCTGCCGTTGGCGAAATGAGCTCTCGTAGCATTTCAGTCGGAAAAGTGCTACCAACTTTTTCTTTGCGTATTTGATAAACATAAACGACGATTTTTCTCTCTCTCTTCAAAAAGAACTCGCCCAAATAACGACGCGGGAACTTCTTCAGTAAATCTGCGGCTTTCTTTTCGCCCGAACAGCTCAAAAATACTGCATTTGTGTCCTCCGCTACAGTGATCAAGTCTCGATAGCTTTTCTCTGAAGAATTTTCGTAGTCAGGGAAAAAGATTAAGTCGGGTATCATGTCAGATTTCAGCAAATGTTCATTTGCAGTAATGTTCACCTTGTTAGAATCAAGATACAAAAAAACATCTCCGGTGCAAGAGGGAAATACTGAGTAGAGATCCCGCCTCTTCTCGGCCGAACAACAAACGTAGCTATGCGAGATAAGCTCAAGATAAAGTTCTTGATTTCGAGACAGTTCTTCATCCTCCAGAAGCAGCTCAATGAAATCACATTCCGACACAGATTCCTTTCTTCCAACAGACCCCACATGATGGAAAACTGCGCACGCGGCTTCTGTTGACAGCTCACAGGCAAATTTCAGAACTTCATCCATCTTCCCGATCTTTTCAAATGATTCAACTTTGGAAAGGCTAGGCGTACTTTCTCCTTTATTCGACAACACTTCCTCCTTAATGTGCCAGGCTGCAAGGAACTCCTGTACGGATTTATGAATGAAATAGGCCCCTTTCTCAGGATTGAGACTCGTAAGATTAACAATTTGAAAAAGCCCAACTTCACTTAATTTTTCAAAACTTCTTGAAATATTGCCGGGGAGTTCGCCGCAGCGTACGTAAAGACGGTCTAGCAGAAGTGCTTCAAAGGCAGCCTTTCCAAGATTACTAAGGTCTTCTCTGGCTTCTGTTGAGGTCACTTTCTGAAATGGCATAGACTGGTGACTTCCACCTTTGTGATCCAGCATGGTTTGAATGAATTGTGTGAATATGTCGGCCCGTGATTTTGGCAGTCCTTCGTGACGTTTCTCTTTCCACAAACTACACAGCATCAGTAAAAGAAGAGGTATTTCTGCCATGTCAACGAGATCTTTTTCTACCAGGTAGAGGTTAAACTCGTCAAGATCTTCTTCACCTGCCAAAAATTTTCTCGCAAAGGTTAATTTTCGTTTCCAACTTTTGAAACCTTGAATTTCTAACTGAACGTGGCTGGGGCCTCTTAACTCGTCACATTTAAGTTGTCGCGTGGTGACAATAACGTGACAATCTCTTAGTTGCTCACCCTTCCAAATTGCAAGAATGGGTGAGTGTTCTTTTGCACAGCTGTACTCATCGTAGCCATCCAAAATAAGCAGCACTTTATCTTGATTGTTAATTATGCAATCATAGAGACTATCAACGGAGATCGGACCATCACTGGCCAGCAATTTAGACGCACGTAAAACATCGCGAATGTTTCCCACGTCACACACATCTCTCAACTTAATCAAAAGCAAAATGCTAAAGTTCATTAGGATTTCTTTTAAGGCTTTCGACCAATCATATGCAGCTTTTTTACAAAACGTACTCTTGCCAATTCCTGGCCGACCATAAACAAGCATTCGTGTTGGTTTTCCCTTGAACATGTCGGTATAGTCTTCAAGTTCCTCTTGTGTCACCCCGCTGGGCTTCCTGTGATCTCTCATCCAATTCAAAGGTATGTAGATCTCATTTATCTCAATGGAAGAGCTTTCGTCCCATGGAACGATTTTCACCTTACTAAAGGTGTCATAATAAGATTTTAGCTTCTCTTGGCACTTCTCAACATTCAACGGTCCTGAAAAATAGAGAAAACAAACATGAACTTTTATTGCTGGGATGAGTAAGCATACAACGTCAAGTTTCCAAAACCACACGAACTCTAGCCTGCAGAACAGACGCAATTTTTTGGCGCTTTCCAGTCCATCGGAGTAAGGGGTGGGACGAGCGCGAAGTCCGAGTTAGTGCGTGGGGAGAAGCTCCAAAACAATATCTTATTTTCATTTTATGATCGATCATTAATTTTCGGCATTGAAGCAGCTGAAGTAAATCAGGAAAAGGTAATAAATTGTTATAATAAAAGAATGAGGAAATATGTTTTATCGTCTTGCCACGAGCGTTCGACAAAAAGAAAAATCGAGTCCTTCCCAGGAATAGAACCTCAGACCTTTAGATTCCGCGCTTAGACACTTCATTACTATAAGTATAAGTTATTAAAACGAAAGCTTACTATTACTTACTCTTCACTTGATAATTACAATACCTGCAAGCCTTCTACGTTTATTTTCTGAAGGATCATCACTTTTACAACTCTCCTCTTCTGTTGGAATGTCTGCAAAGGGAAAGGAAAGCCAAACTGTAATGAGCATTAAAACACACCTTACTAAATTTGTGAAATGGGTAACAAGCAGGAGTCGAAATAAGTGCTGATTGAAGATGAAAATCTCATGTGAGCCTGATCACAGTTTAAAGGAGAGAAGAGAAAATTGATGGACATCAAGAATTGAAATTCACTGGAACGGAATAAGAGCTAAGATTTAGATCTCAACAAAGTTTTAAACCGGTCAGTAACAATGAGGGATTTCGTAGAAACGTAAACAAAGAAAATTTGGGTTCATCTTACTGCGCACAAGAGTCTGGACACGAAAACAATAATTAGGAGGGCAGGGGGAGGGGGTAGTTGATAAACGTGTTTAATCAGCGATTTGTAATACCTACACTCTAGGACAAAGAAAATAGATTTAAGACTTATTAAATACAATGAAGATGCATAAGTGAGTAATTTCTTATAAACCCTTTCTAATCTGGAATTTTAGAGCGTTATCCATGACTTCAAAATTGGAATTAAAGCTACAAAGTGAATTTCTTCCTAAGACTTTTTGAAGGTTCTTTTTCAAAGCAATGCGATTGAAAAACAAAGAATGCGTATGTTTATCAGTTTTCTGATATATATTTAATTCCACTGTTGGTCTTCATGTTCTCATCAGCTGATAACGATATTCTAAACAAATACAAAAGATACAGTGGCCAAAAAGCATGGTGTCTGAGAATTTACGCACTGTACTTGTATGTAATTGTATTTTTATTGAATTGTAAGATAAGTGATGTTTTACCAGTAATAAATGGTGCGCAAGCTGGCTATACTCTAAAGGATATTAATGCAGGTCGAAATTCCAGTAGGGATATTGCAAACATGGCCGAAATGAAAGCAAAAGCAAACAGCTTGATAGATGTTCTCTTCCCTACATTAAAGGGAACATTACTCTTTGGGTCTTCCATTAGTGTGCATAGAGACTAAACTTCTTCCCAACTCGAATTTGCCCCAACGAAACATAAAGTATTGACCAGGTTCATTCAATAATTTTGAAATATACAACGTTCATTATTTTCTCAACAATTTCCTTTGATGATAGCGCACTCAAGGAAAGGATGATGTGCTACAGAGACAACTCATGGCACTTTAACAAACAAGGTTTCATGTATAAAACAACAAATTTGCTCCAACATAACTTGCAAGTACATAAGGGTTAGCATCCATTTCTAACAGGAGTTTATTATAGGATTACTCTTACTAGTATTAAGAAATGTGAATCAAATGTTCAGTTAGCAGTGATAATTTGGTTTTTATGTTGATAACGTAAATTGGCCTCTGTAGAGAGATCCTGAAGCTGATGTTTCGAGCGTTAGACCTTCGTTGGACCGATTAGGAAATGTGGGTTGGGTGTGGTTTATAAAATCGGGGTTGGGCTGGGGGGAGGGAAGGGGGGTTAAGGCAGGAGTTTCTAGGTGTATTATTGGGGGTCGGTGGTCTTCTTCTTGCCAGAGGGAAAATGCTATCAAACATTCAACGGTTCCAAGAAATATTTAAGAAAAAAAAAACAGGTATTAACTTTTATTGAAAGAATTAATATGCACACGATGCCAAATTTCTAAAACCACACAAACTCAAGTTAAGTTTCCTTAGTATGAAAGGATTAAGGTAATTAACCCCTGCCGCCGCGCTCTCTCTCCTCCCCCCTGCAAAAAACAAACCCACACTCTGTTAATTAAGTTTTACCTTTCTCGGTGGCTCTTCTTAAATTGCAGGGAAGATTAAATTTCCAGCATTGATTTCATCATGGATCAATAATGTTGGGAAACGAAGCAGCCAAAGTAACAACAAAAACTTCATGAATTTTAGTTTCATAAAATTTTTCGGAGTACTGTTTCTTGAACAAGAACGACAAATTGGCAGAAGAAAAGGAAAGAAAAGAAGTTTGACTGTCTTGTCACGAGCGTGAAACAAAGGAACAATTTTGAGTCCTCACCAGGAATAGAACCTAACACATCCAGATTCCGCGCTCGGACACTCCACCACTTTAAGTATAGTATAAGTTATTAAAACGAAAGCTTACTATGCAATTTCTTCATTTGACAATTATAATACCTGCAAGCCTTCTACGTTTATTTTCTGAAGGATCATCACTTTTACAACTCTCCTCTCCAGCTGAAATGTCTGCAAAAGGGAAAGGAAAGTCAAACTGTAATGAGCATTAAAACACATCTTACTAAATTTGTAAAATGGGTAACAAGCAGGAGTCGAAATAAGTGCTGATTGAAGATCAAAATCTCGTCTCTAAAAGAGAGAAGAGAAAATTGATGGACTTCAAGAATTGAAATTCAATAGAACGGAATAAAAGCTAATATTTAAATCTCAACAAAGCTTTAACCCGCTCAGTAGCAGTTAGGTATTTCGTAGAAAGGTAAACAAAGAACATTTGTTTGTTCATCTTACTGCGCACAAGAGTCTGGACACGAAAACAATAATTAGGAGGGCAGGGGGAGGGGGAGGGGGAGGGGGGTAGTTGATAAACGTGTTTAATCAGCGATTTGTAATACCAACAATCTAGGACAAAGAAAATAGATTTAAGACTTATTAAATACAATGAAGATGCAGAAGTGAGTAATTGCTTATAAACTCTCTCTAATCTGGAATTTTAGAACCTTATCTATGACTACAAAATTGGAATTAAAGCTACCAAAGTGAATTTGTTCGTATCTCAGACTTTTTGAAAGTTCTTTTTCACAGCAATGCCATTGAAAGACAAAGAATGCATATGTTTTGCAGTTTTCTGATATATATTTAACTCCGCTGTTGCTCTCCATGTTCTCATCAGCAGATAACGATACTCTCTACCAAGGACAACAAGCAAGCGTATCAAGAAATGGTCTATTGTTCTGGCTCAACTTTTCCATTAGGCAGCAAACAAAAGCCCTTTTGTAATTGGTAGTCCTGAGGGACTTTGGCCGAAGGGTGGCGGAAAAGCTCGTAACTCATCGAGAAAATAATGGAGTGACAATATTTCTGCATAGGGGGAGTGGGTAGTGTAATATGCACCAGTAAGATCAATCATTATCGGCGTACCCAAGGGTATACTTGACCCTCGATGAGCGCATTGAGCCAAAGGTTCGTAAGTTTAAAAACAATTAAAGTTATCCGTATTGCAGTGACTCATCTAAACCACCTCTCTCTATATGCAAGTCAAGTCGCCTTGTAAAAAGTCAACGCACAAAAATATTTTTTGGTCTTACTACTGATGATAAATGCAATCGAAAGTGACTGTTTTCTGTAGAGAGCCTCGAGGCATTAAAGACCTTGTTTCTGGTGCACAGCTGTTTTCAAACAAGGCGCTCATTTTTTAGAACCAACATGTTTACTTAACTGAGGCGTTGAGAACATTTTTCAAATAGGAGGGGTGGGGGTTTTTTGCTACGTCAAATTTGAATTTAAGGGCCTATCGGCCAGAGTGTTTTATTATCAGGAATTGTGGGATAGGGGGTTAAAATCTTCCATGAACCCTTGAATACCCCTGTCTAAGTATAAAGAGGGTCGTAAAGGGGTGTTGGCATGGCTTTTACGGCTAACGGTTAATATCTTTTCATTGTTGTCACCATAAATTTTTCTTACGGTTAAATCTTTTACGACTATCGGTTACGATTTGTCAATTTTTACGACGAACGGCTAATTTTTTGGCCGTTTTACGGCTAACGGTTAACTTTACTAACCCTTCTATTAAACACTGTTACTGCCAATTTGTGATTAGGAAAAATGAAAACCGTGATCAAAAGTATCTAACAAAATGACTGAGAATAGGAACTGATCGATTATCAAATACGATTGAGAAAAAGATCAAAATGGTATCTTTTTTTTCCGTTAAGTGATTAAATATGTTCGAGACGTGAACTATAATGATTCTCATTTCACAAAATGTCAATATTAATCAAAAATATAGCTATAATCTTGCAGAAGATTGTGAGAGTTAAACTGCTCAGTCTTCATGCGACTGCCGAAAATTCAATACGGAAATCTAATACTAAGGGAGAATTAATGAGAGGGAGATATGGAGAGCGAATCAGCATTTACTCAGAAGATTCAAGTGTTCCAACTCAAGAGAATGAATTTCGGTTTTGTACGTCTCACTTTTATAACCAAGGATAGAATTGAACATGAAAAAATAACTTTGTAACAGGGAACGTCAGGCCTCTGTGTCCATCCCTCCGGAAAGATGGATTTTCATTACAAGATTCATACCAGTAGAGCCAAAGTTTCTTTCTTTAATCGGTAAGCTATCTGTGCGCGATAATCAACTTTTCATGAACTGATATGGAAAACCAATTGGCAGTTTACTCCGCGGTGAATCTATTTCGGTTTTGCGCGCTCACCTCTATAACTTCAGACGGATTTGAGCATGCAAAAATGAAATATTTATTCTCTTTTAACAAGGAACCTCAGGCTTCACGGTCCATCCCTGTGGAACTGTTTGATTTTCATCACAAGATAAATCACCCTCTCACTGAAGCTTCTTTTTATCAACGGTAAGCTATCTGTGCGGGATAAACGACTAATTGTCTTCGTGCACTTTTCATTTTCTAACGGGTGTGATTTGCACGATCAAAGACACAACTATTAACAGTTATAAAACAATTGAGATAGTTCGATCGCACTCATAGGTCAACTAGTCAGTTTAGACCAGAGTCTGTAGAAACAGCTAGTTGTGACGCACACTTTTAATGTTTGCCAGCGAAATTTGAAAACATTTCAAACTCAAAGTTTTCCCAATACTTGCAATTAATTTCAAGTAGAAATAACAAATACTGGAATTGGAGGAAAATTTGCCAATTTTTATCTAGGGTTTGGCTACCTCCCATTCTACTGTCTTTTCGCTGAGCCGCATGCTTGGCACTGCAGCTTTTAATACACCTTGCTCGCGCAACTAAACACAGCCCTTACGAACGGCAGCCCTTCCGCCTTTTTGATATTGAGATATGCACATATTGATTTGATGCTTCGCTGGTAGCATTTTGAGACAGAAAACCATAGTTTTCCGAAACAATGCAGAACAAAACAAGCTGACTGCGTTGAATCACAATAGCAAAAACTCTCTTAAGACACACGCTTTAGCACGCCCTTTTTTTTGGCGCAGAACGCGAAAAACGTGCGAAGGTGTTGCGTGTGCGTTGGCCATCTAGCTCTGAGCTAGTGCAAGTTATTGAATAACGGCTGAGAGCACTTCACAGCATTCTTTGATATTCTTAAACTAGAGAAGAGAATGAGGTAAAAACACCTTTGAAATAATTTGCATTGACCAGTATCATTTTTCATAATTGCTGACAGAAGCATTCTTGGCTATTTATAACATTAATTTCTATTTCAAAAGATGACTAAAATCACATTCAGGTTCTTTTTTCATTTCTCCTTTCTTTTCTTAACAGCCTCAGTCCTACAGCTTTTCTGGCCAATTTATGTACCTATGAATTCTTTCACTTCTTCAACATCAATACATCAAAACAACAAGTCAGTGATTTGCCATGTTGGTTTCCTATTTATTGGAACATGTGAGGGGGAACTGAAACCAAACTGGAGCCCATGCTAGGCTTCAATGAGTCAACAAAAACAACTGAAAGTGATAAACCCCACACCTTTTCGTTCATTTCAACATGGTTTGATACCAGTTAAAATCAACTAAATGGACTTAAAAGTGGTTTTTACTTCCCAATAACAAAAAGAAAAACTAAACCAACATGAAGAACCATGTTTCAATTAAATTAACTTGAAAAATAAGTTCAAACTGAGCATCCTGTTCACCTGTCCTTCCCCTTGATTCTTCTAGTTCTCTTCCATGACCAGTGGTGGGTACTTCAGTGAGGGGTGAAGTACCTTAAGGTAAAAAATGCAGAGAGATTAGCGTTCACAGCCTCTCTTCAAATGTTTTGTTCCCATAAGTGGAACTGTGTACAATTATATTAATTTATTGATGCCACATTATTGCACTGAGATAATTCTTTGAACATTTATCACATTAATGTTATAACTGTTTGAACAACAACTTCCCATAATAACTTAATAAAATATTTTTATCACTTTTTCCCCATGCTCTGTTGCCAGCATGCCAGTCTGCTTATTTTGCTCTTCAGGTTTCAAGTCATCCACCTCAACCTTAATTTTCAATTCACTATCTGTCAAATTGTAACAGTCAAATTTAATCCTACTATAGCAAGGTTCTTTTACCTGTTACCTATATCACCATTGAAATGTGAGAACATGATATCGAGGCGACACTAATCAAACAGAGAGCTTGTTAGCAATGAATAGATTACCACATACAGTATATCTGTTGAGCACAGTTCAGTTTCAATTTCTTTTGCATCTTTATCTTATTCCATAGTAGAATCAAAATTCTGATTAATCTAAACGATTACAGTTTCAAACATGGAAATATCTCAACAGTTTTAGCTAGGGTTAGGATCATTTTTCTCTTGTATAACAAAGCCTATTGTTAACAATGTTGAGCCACTTTTCTTGATACGAGTTACAAGATCTCTTGGAAGACACAACCAAAGCTGTTACAAAAATGAACACGTACCTCCATAATGAGGCCAGTCTCCAAACACACAAGAGTTACTCAACATAATTGAGTAATTTCTTATTAACCCCCTCTAATCTTGAATTTTAGAATGTTATTTATGACTTCAAAATTGAAATTAAAGCTACCAAAGTGAATTTGTTCATATCTCACACTTTTTAAAAGTTCTCTTTTAAGGCAATGCAATTGAAAAACAAAGAATGTGTATGCTTTTCAGTTTTTTGATACATATTTAATTCCACTGTTGGTCTCCATTTTCTCATCAGCAGATAACAATATTCTATACCGAGGAAAACAAGCAAGCTACAAAATCTCTTGGAAGACACAATCAAAGCTGTTACAAAAATGTACACGTACCTCCGTAATGAGGCCAGTCTCCAAACACAAAAGAGTTACTCAACATGTTGGATACAACAGAAGCTGCCATAACACAAGCAAAAGTCTTCCATGAATTGTTTTTAGTTGCACTGCCAGGTACAAAACCACAAACACCATTAACAACAAGCCACTCCATCTTCATGTCATGAGCTGCTGCAAAAAGACCTGAGGCAGAAAAATGAAAAAAAAAAGCAATAACTATTGCAATGGATTTAAACAGTGATATTATGGGGAGATAGTTAAGATTAATTGGTGCAAAAGAGGCTCTGTTTTTCTGCAGATATCATTCGTTTTGTTTGTTCTTTGTTATTGGAATACTTTAAAAGATGTTGTGTTTTTCTGCTGGTATATAAATTAGCACCACTCTTTCTAGAGAGTATGAATGAGTAGGGCAGGGTACCTTTTTAGTCAGGAGCAGTATAGCAAAGAATAAGGATTTGGAATTCAGGAAAGTTTCGCCGAACACAAAGTATGGAGTACCTCACCTCCAACAAGAACCTGGTTAATAGTGTAGCAATCAGAAGCTTTGAATGGTTGAGAGGTGAGGCTTGAAAATATGACAAGTTGGAGGGTACAGTGCAATAAAGATTACCATTATGCACCTGTGCTGACCACTCCCCTAGAAAAAGTTGTTAAGTACCTCCCCTCCTTCTGGCTAAATAGTTTAGCAAACAGATCTTCCTGTAGTTCAGAGGTAAAGCTTACAAACATCAAAGTTGAGGGTATACTGTAAAAATCATTATCATTGTACGCTTATGGTGACCAATCCCCATACAAAAAAATTGCTAACTTTCTTTCCTCCTTCAGAAACTTAGCCTTACAAAGTAGCGACCAGAATTTGGGGGTACAGTGTAATACACACTATGTTTGAAAACCTCTGGGACTACTCATAATTTATTTCTTGCTCGCAGTACACCTTTGTATATGACTGGGTACAATCATATTTCTAGTAATTACTTGGTTACTGGGTCACTTGGACGAGATCAGAAAGTTATATTATGAAGATATGAACGATGATTCCATCTTAATTCACTAGTGCCAATCAGTACATACGCCCAAAGCAGGCACATGAAAAAGAGGAAAAGGAGTTTACCTTCAGTTACATGTAATTGAACATTTTATGTAATTGGGTTTGGTCAGCTTTGTATGAGTGATCCTGGTAACATTATATTGCACTTGTTATGGATAGTGACTGTTAAAACAAGTTTCTAGAAATTTCTAGAATGCCTGGTCATACTGAAATGCATATACCATTGAACTTTCTAGAACATTTTATTAGATCACATTGTTATGATGTATTACTACAGAAACAGTTGTGTTGTAAGTTTCCAAAATGTTCTGGAATACTTTCTGAATGTAAATAAGGACTCAGTCATGTAGTAGTAGTTGTTGCTGTTGTCAGGAGCGATCAGATGTCTAGAAAGCTATATATGGAAAGAGAGCTTCTGTGGAAGATTGTTCACTTCAAGGAAGTTTGGAAACACATGTGAGATTGTGTCAATGGTGAGCTAACTCATAGTCTGTAATGGGCCTAAGTAAGTTTATCAAGGATCACTACTGTGCTGTCTTTAAGAGTCACTCTTTATCAATGTTTCATGCTGTTTAATAAAGTTGTTGAGTTTATAGGAGCATCGTGTTCTTTTTATCCTTTAGATTACACTGTAACACACTGAACACAATGAATACATGTAATCCTTGTTATGGCAAAACCATTTCCTGCACAATGATCACAGATGCCAAGCAAGAGTAACCCTGAGAGTAATTCTCACCTTTTCCTTCCATTTCAACTGCAATTGCCCCAGGGTGTAATTGACACTGCTGTTCAGCACCAATCAGATCAGAGCAACTCAAAATCTCTCCATCCCAATGTACTTTGACCTTTTGCGCTTCTGGGTTTTGTAATGGTGCCTTCCATCCATCAGCTGCACTTTTGACAAGGTTACCAACATCCCTACTCACTGGGGTTTTGTGATGATCTATTGTGAGCTGTGAGGATATCACCACATCTCCTAGCTGGGCTTTGTCAGGATTCAAACTGTAGCAGAAACCAACCAAAAAGGTAGCCTTAGGTCTCAGGAGTGTGATGGCATTCTTAGCAGAAGTTTGAGAACCTCCAGGATCCAAGGATTCTTTAGAACACTTCACTAAAGCAACTTTCAGTGACTCCTCTTCATCCTCACCCATCTTTCCAAAGTACACATATCCAATGGATTTCTCATAGCTTCTAAAGGAATCTCTCAAGTAATGATGACAAGCCAAGAACTCGCAATCCCCCGCAGTCAAGAGCAGAATGTCAACTGGAGAATAGTCCGTGTCCCAATGTTTCACCTTCTTTGGCAAATCTCCAAGCTCCTTCAGTGTAATACTCAGAGGTGGAGGGTCATCATTGCAAACCACTGACCTGCTGCACTTGTCATTACTAGGTCCTGCCATCATAACAAACTGGATCTGTGTTCAAAGTTTTCCTGAAGTGAACAAACGAAATCAGAAACCAATTATATAAAAACCTTGTTTATGAACAGATGTCTTTTCAAACTTGTGTGATCATATTCCATTACATCTGATTATTCCTTTTTATCTCTTTTTATATCACATTGAAAATAACAAATTCTCTCTATTATTCATGATTTTTGACTGTAAAGGCTGATTTTTTCAATACACAATTCATCATCATCATCATCAAGTATGCTCCATATTTCTATCTCTACCATACAAAGTGTCCATTAAAATTAAACTATAAACCACAGTTTGAGATTTCAAAGAGCAAGTATTCTAACCATTAAAACATTACTTTTTCCTCAGATGTGTAAAAAGTTTTTAATGTGGATGTCACCAGCATCTTTAATAGTGATGTCCTGCTAACAGCACATGCAAAACCATAATATAAGGTTTATAAACAGGTACTGGTATAGTGTTGATGAAACCAGAGAAAATCAGAATTAAATCACCATAAGACAGAAAAAAGAGGAGTAAGGCCTTGCATTTCACAGCTAAGCACTCAGTTTACAAAGTATGATTCAAAGTGCTGCCCCAATCAAATTTTCAGAACATTTGAAGACAATTTCCAACTGTTTAGTTACACTCTTTGTATTCTCAAAACAAATTACCGGTAGGTCATTGGTCTCCAGAGACATTTTAGTTGCCAGCCACAAAAAAACACTAAATAGATTTAGACAAGTAATTACTGCTTTGTCTGATCTAAGCACAGTGTGTAGTGGGTGCTTCAGAAATGTGTAACCAGCAAAGATGCCAGCCACTCAAGTGCTTCTGAAGAACCGTGAATGATTCATTTGAATGAACATTATTTGATTACTAAATTTACTGTCTCTTTGTCCTACTTTGTTTGTTTGATTTTTGTTTAAACTTCAAAGCTGTTTTTGTTGATAGATTTTGAACTGTCAAAATGTACATAGATTTTGAACAGTAGAGTTAGTCAGTTAGGAAGCCTTTGTTATAGGGATAACCTCAGGGGTTTCCCTTTTAAAATACTGTATATTTGTGTTTGAATCAAGAGTTATTATCATTATTATTTTTATAATTATTATAATAACTGTTATAATTCCACCCATACATGTATAACACTTTTAATAACATGATGTTAGAAGTATATCATTTTGTAACTCCTTTAAGATTCAGAGTTCAAGATTCCCGTAAGTTAGCTCAAGAAGGAGGAAGAATTCATACTTTATGGCTCAAATTTTGCTTCTTGCAGGAAGTTCATTCCATTTTCAATTATTCTTTAAAAATTATTTTTGAGAGAAAGGGTGGGCTTGTTAATTCTCTTGTCTTGGGTTGCACTCAGACTGGATTTCCACAAAAGTTAAAAAATAACCTCAAGTTCCTTAGTCTTTCTGTAGCAATAAATTGAGGGTCATAACAAACCCTAAGATAATATTTATTACCAAAAGCTAACACCCAAATGTGCATAAGACCAAGATAAGCCACTTTTACTTTTTTTTCCAAATTGCCCCTTATTCATATGTTTCACTCTTCTACCTGACTCAGACTTTACTATTGTCATCTGTTTGCTTCTATGAAATCCAATAAGACCCCTAATTTTTCTTCTCTTTTGCCTTCATCAAATAATTGTATATGCAGGTAGTTACAGTTTGTAGAATATTAACTTCAATCCCAGTTAAAACGTAGGTTTATGAATAAACTTAAGAGATCTTAGTGACCTGAGTACAAGTCAACTAATGTACTTGTCAATGATAAAATTAAGACTAAAATTTTCAACTGAAAGATGAATGCAAAAGATGCTGAAAGAAGTGCTCTTAGGTCCAATGTGTCAGATCTTACAAGTAGCTTTTGGTGACCTTAGGCTGTCCTGGGTACAGCCACAAATTTAGTCAGACCATGCTGGTCAGGATTATTTGATTAGCCATTTAAATTACCATAGTTTTTTTACTGTCACTTAACCCATTGAGCCCCACACCTTAGAGCTCAGACCACCCCCTGAAATTCCAGAGAAAATGGCTGCCACAGTGAACACACAGACCACTGCCAAAATAATTTAAGATTTTAATGTCTTCATTTCACTCTACTGAAGGGAAACTGCACAAAGTTGCATATTAAATAATATACTTTCCCCCTGTCAAATTTTATTTTCAATTTGAGCATCAGGCTCTCTCAAAAAAAATTCTAAAGCTAGAGAACGGATTCAACTTCATGATGTACAGCGAGTCATTGGCAAGGTTGCCTTCAGCTTTGAAAGTATTTATCAGTATGATGACTCTCTTTTGCACTCTTATTCCATCAGAATCATGTAAAAAGCTTTCCCTCAAATACAACACCAAAAGACAGATCGCAAATTCCTCCTCAACAAAAGGAATCCTAAACTTTCTAACGCGGGTCAATTTTGAATTTGCCCGCCATAGCGACATCGCGACACGTCACAAGGCGCAGCTATAAAATTACTTTTTGCGAGTCATGAGCAAGAACAAACCAATTTTTACGCCTAAATGAAAAGTTTCACTTTGAACAATGCATATATGTTCTTCGCTTAGGCAAACTTTTGCTCCAAGCGAGTTACAAGGGGGCAAACTTTGCAGAGGAGATCGTTTCGGTCTTCTGCGGTCGGGTCAGCAAGATGTAAATATTTCCCGAGAGTCATGAAGCGGTGCTCTGGGATCGTTTTTTTAAGCAATCAACTCCAACAAACTCGTCAGAATCCCAGTACATTGCCAGCTGAGGAAGTTCATGGATTCCAATGAGAATGTTTAGCCCAAGATACGCTGAAATTTCCGCTTGGGTAGATGTGAACGATCGATCTCCTTTCGAACGAGCGTACGCAACGGTGTATCGGACGTCTTCGTCAATGTAAGCATCGTCGATACATACATTGAAGAAATCTTTGGCAGTTGCATTTTCTCCGAGATCTCTGGTCGGGCCACGACGAATGGAGAATTCCTCAACATTAAATTTTCGCAATTAGCTAGACCATTGAAGAGCATTTGGTCAGCTTTCTTCTGCGGCAGATTCTTCATCACTACTAGCGTCGCTTTCTTCTTCCTCCTCACTAGCATATAGCTCAACATCGGAATCGCTTCCCCTTTCTTGCGACCGTAGGTCGAAAAAGTCTTCCATCTCGTCATCCACATTTCGAACCAAGTTTTGTTCATGCTGTGCTTGACGAGCTTGTCGCTTTTTTCAATTTCTTCGATGATAAAACCAGCGAAGACTTCTTGCTCTTCATCGGATGAAAATTAACTTTCATCAATTCTTCCAGAAACCATGTCTAAGACCACGACACATTTTTTGAAAAATTTGTAAAAAATCGCACGGTAAACGTGTAATAGTGAGTTTGGTCTCAAACGAAAGCTTATTTTTTGCATGTCACGTTTCACTGCTTTTCAATACCCAGGGGAGTTTTGTTTCTAAGCTACAGCCAATCAAAACAAGCCAATTTTGACAGGGCGCATGAGGGCGCATTGGAATTTCAGAGGGGTTTTATTTCTGGGCGCATGAGGGCGCATCGGATGTCAATGGGTTAAACAATCACCACACTATTTTTTGCCCCTAAATCATTGGAACAAGATAAAAACATTTATTCCATTCAATAACATCAATTAATTAGGGTATTGATAAAGAATTGCAATTATTTTTTCATGTCTGACAGTGTCAATGATATCATGATTGGTACATTGCTGAAAGTTATTTATGATTAAATAAACTGTAAACAGTTGTTACTCTTTTTGATAAAACTTAACCCTATGAGCCCTAAGAGTGACGAGCATCTAATTTCTCCTCATAATATCACTCCTAAATCACACATTAAGGTCACAAGAATTAACCCTTTAACCCCTAAGAGTGATAAGTATCTACTTTCTCCCAACAGTATCACCCTTGGATTAAATATTGTGGTTGTGAGAATAAAGGAAATGATCACAAACTCAACAAGCTCTTGATTATTAAACAAATTCTCCTCAGTACCATAGAAAATGTTTAGAGAACAGTATGGAGAACTTGCAGACTGATGTTTGGGTGTAAAGGGTTAAGGAAATGATGACCAGTTAAAGAGGCTCTTGATTATTGAACAAATTCTCTTTATCTGCACCTTAGGAAATGTTTAGAGAACAGTATGGAGAATACAGAGACTAATGTCAGGGTGTAAAGGATTCATATTGGAGCAATTAACCCACTCAAAGCAAAACAGACCCACAATTACAAAATAACCAAGATTGTGAACTTAAAATCTTATTCACCTCAGTTCACACCTTAACACATTATAAAACTCACCCATGCTGCAACAAGTTATTCCTGTATTCAGAAACTCAGATCCTGTAACCTTTTGGGACAGTTGTCTGCCGGAAATAAAAATTACATAAACACATAATTTAGCACAGAAAACATGCCTGATAATTCTTAAGATTTTACTTTATAAACCAGCTTGCCAAAATTTGTGTATCTTTATAAATTTCCCCTCAAATGTCAAGGATTGTAATATAATCACATCTGTACTTTTATAGTTTCTTTTAACATCAATCATCACCATTTATAGGTAATTGGTACAAGTTGTTGATCTCCAGGTGATATTCACAAATTTACATAATCATGACATTTGATACAAAGCAATTAAGTCTTAGTAGTTAAAAAACTTAACTCAAATATAAAAAGCAAATGTACATGCTTTGTGTTTGTATTAATCTACAATTGTCAACAATTTAATATCAAAACTACCGACAAGAAATCAGACTGATCTCATTTAGACATAAGTTTTGCTTTCAGTTCAATTTCAGTATGTTGAGATCAATCCGAGTAATGATCCTTGTCAGCCTACTTTAAATCTGTCCAGAGAAAAACATTCATTTTTAGAGTATTGAGTATTGGAGTGCTGAGCTTTAAAAATAAAGTACACATTGGCTTTGCCCCAGTTATTATAAATTCTTCTAAAGAGCTGCAGAGGTAGCTCTTTAGAATAATAAAGCTATGACTGATGTATATTGACAATCTTATACACTGGTATTTCAAACTTCGATTCTCAACTTTATTTTGCAGTGAAAAGACATTTCAGTGTTCATTTTGAACAACTATGAAGTATCTAAAGCATAGCTATATATCAATGGAAAGGTTATGAAATGGACTATTTGGCAAAAATTATTTTGTATATGCTTGATCTAATCGTAAGCCAAATGAGGCAGGACAATTAGAAAGGGACAACATTTCTTTAAGTGAATTAATTGCATATAAAACCTCTGGACAACTTCCATCCTGATGGGTTGGTATTCAAAACCACGTGGGGATTTTTCGATATTCTTATTGGATGTTTTGCAACTTGTCTGTCAAGTTTGCTGTTCAAAATTTTACCAATACTCTTAACATTGCAGGTCATTGTGGAGATACATTTCTCCAGTTTTTTTTGGGTTGGTATCATGGGAGTCTTTGAACCAAATTTTAAGGCAATTGGTAAAGTTTATATACCTTACAAATTTGTCCAAAGAAGACAAATTTGTGTAAAAACAAAGGAGGTTTTTTTTAACTTCCAAAATTATCTTTCTCCATTCACATTCTAGTTTTAAAGATCTCCATGTGCAACCAAAATTAAGAGATGTTTATGCAATTAAAATTCAAGGACCAGGATGTTTTGCCACAAGAAACCTTCCTGTAGTCATTTATGTAATGACATGTTACAAATGGTTCTTCAACTTGGCCCATTCAAAAATACTTTTGTGTAAATAACTTGTGCATGTTTCAATATGTTATCGATTTTTTCCTGGAAACTATTGTTAAAGTCATTATGCTTAGTTTAACAGGAAAAAAAAATAGGCCCTTGAAGGTCTACCATAACTTTAACTTCATGCACTGCCTTTTGTTGCTGCAGATTTCCTCTTAATTCAAAAGGAGACAAGGGAGTTACATGTGGAATTATAGTTTGAATGCATTACCTTCTGTCCTCTTAATTTACACTTAGACTTCTGTATTTGTTGTTCCACTTAGATGAAGACCCTGGTCAAAGTCTTACTAATTTCTTCTGCTTCTACGGCAAAACAGGAATGAAATTCATGTCACCATCTTTCCACAGTGTCCTAAACACATTACCTCAAGCTGGGAGTTACATTGCCCCCAAGTGTAATTATGTCACCCTTGGAGTGGCCCTGTTGCCCCCAGCTGTTACATAGCCTGAAGTGATTCATTATCAATAACAATACCACTAATATTTATTTTATAAATATCACTGCCTGACAAAAAAAGTATATTGAGTTAATTTACCTTCTAAGACTCGATGGCTGATCCGCATGAAGCTGTTTGTAGTATGTTTTAGTTTCCCCTTTCGTAACCGATATAATATTGGAAATTAATTTTATCTGAAATAAAAGGTTTGCATAATATATACTAATTACTGAACAATGAAACCTCACTATCACAAGTTGATTGTTTCACCTCATTCTCAGTCCACTTAATTAGCACTTGGTGCTAGTTTTTTGTCAATTTGTCCTAATCAAGCAGAAGAGTTTACAACAAGGGCAGTAAGTGAAGCAAATCATTTTGTATTTTTGATCCATGCATTGTGAGTTTAATCCAATAATGGTAACTTAATTTAGAATGTTTTGACCATTTAGAAGTCATAAAAAACAAGTTTGATTGATCAGCTGGAGTGGCAGGAAACAGCTCATTTTAGAGGCTGTTCATCTTACCTGCTTTGACTAATTTTCTTTAATCCAGTTGTTGCTATCAGAAAATCACTTCAACCTTCAATTGACAAGTACAATAACAAACTGATCAGAGAGTTGGAGGACAACGTTGTTACCCTGTAAAGAGGGGAAAAATTAGGAGTGTTTAATCAACAAGATAAAAAACAGATTGAAACTGTCTTAAAACTAGTTATAAACGGTACTTACCTTGTGAACGTGATTTATTTTAAGATATCACGGAGAAAATCTTGCCATCGGGTTAAAAAACGAGGAGCTTACAATGGCCGATAAGACTTATATTAGTTAAAAAAATGAGATATTAATTTTTAATCCACATAAATAAAAGATTTACGGGTAAAGACCAGCTCACCTTGATATTCGGTATATACGCCATGGCTGAATGCCATATAGACGACAAAATGGCTGACAATACATAAGCTTTAAGCTTCATGTAAAACTTACAATATGTCCTAGTTAGCCATGTTCTACCACGTTAACCCACATCTACCCTAAGTTAACCATGTTCTACCACGTTAACCCACATCTACCCTAGGTTAGCCATGTTCTACCACGTTAACCCACATCTACCCTAGGTTAGCCATGTTCTACCACGTTAACTCACATCTACCCTAAGTTAACCATGTTCTACCACGTTAACCCACATCTACCCTAGGTTAGCCATGTTCTACCACGTTAACCCACATCTACCCTAGGTTAGCCATGTTCTACCACGTTAACTCACATCTACCCTAAGTTAATCATGTTCTACCACGTTAACCCACATCTACCCTAAGGAAAACAAGGTTAACTTCACGTATATGTCGGTCAACCAAAAAACACGAACTTAAAATGGGGTAGATTAGGGTAAACGTGATTAAAACGTGACTAACTCAGGGTAGATGGGGGATTATGAGGTAGAACATGCTTTCCTGAGGGTAGATGAGGGCGAACGTAGTAGAACGTGGGTTAACGTAGTAGAACATGGCTGACTTAGAGTACATGGGGGTTAACGTGGTACAACATGGCTAACTTGGGTAGATGGGGGTGAACGTGGTAGAACATGGGCTAACGTGGTAGAGCATGGCTGACTTAGGGTAGATGGGGGTTAACGTGGTACAACGTGGTTAACTTAGGGTAGATGTGGGTTAACTTGGTGGAACATGGCTAACTTAGGGTAGACGTGGTAGAACATGGTTAACTTAGGGTAGATGTGGGTTAACGTGGTAGAACATGGTTAACTTAAGGTAGATGTGGGTTAACGAGGTAGAACATGGCTAATTTAGGGTAGATGTGGGTTAACGTGGTAGAACATGGCTAACTTAGAGTAGATGTGGGTTAACGTGGTAGAACATGGTTAACTTAGGGTAGATGCGGGTTAACGTGGTAGAACATGGCTACCTTAGGGTAGATGTGGGTTAACGTGGTAGAACATGGTTAACTTAGGGTAGATGTGGGTTAACGTGGTAGAACATGGCTAACGTAGGGTAGATGTGGGTTAACGAGGTAGAACATGGTTAACTTAGGGTAGATGTGGGTTAACGAGGTAGAACATGGCTAACTTAGGGTAGATGTGGGTTAACGTGGTAGAACATGGGTAACTAGGACATATTATAAGTTTTACATGAACCTTAAAGCATATATATTGTCAGCCATTTTGTCGTCTATATGGCATTCAGCCATGGCGTATATACCTGATATTCGCGTTCTCCGGTCGATCAACGCGGAAGTGAAGATCGTTGATGTTGCTGTAACTAATCCAAATTTCCCACCAAACACGCGTCAACATTACACATATCATTTTCGATGCATTGGTTTATCTTTAAAATTCCAAGAAAGTCTAATTACTCTTAAAAGTCTGAACAAGCACGACAATTAGTGCTTTTCCACGCACGTGTTCTGGAATGTGCTTAGCAAAGCAGCACTACTCACCGGGATCTTTTTCGAGGAAACTGGGGAGAAGCGATGTTCATGTGACTAGCAAACAATTTCAAGTCACGCGATCCACTTTTCGCGGTGGGGGAATGATTTTCTGAAAGTTAACGCTTCTCAAAAGAAAGCTTGATTGCCGACCAAGTTTTTCATCATAATGATAAAATATCTGGTTCGAAAGATCGAAAGCAACTGTGATGCCACAGTCGCCATATCGGAACTTGTATGCAGAAGGGGCAAACTCAATCAAGCATTCAACACAGCGAAAAACACTTGATAAAGTTCTGTCACCAGCGTAGTTTCTTACAGTCGGTGATATATATATATGTAAGATTTTACGCTAGTAACTAACGGCGTAATTTCTTCCAGTCGGTGATATATATAATGTAAATTTACGCCAGTAATATAATTTAATTATACATTAATTTATTATAATTAATCTACCGACTGGGTTAGTGGCGTAAAATCTTACAGTATATAGACTGTGTTAGTCGCATATTACGACTTTATATATATTCCCCTGTCACCAGAACGAGTGGACTCAATGGACTCGACAACGGTGGACTTCACCTTCATTTTAGAGGTAATTAACGAACAGTATTTTAAAAATTTTCAAACGCATTTAGATTGAAATGATGTTCTATCCTCGATTGCCGTGCCTAGTGAGAGTGATAAATACAGCATTAGAAGTTTATGAGTACCAAATTATAGGGGTGTACACTTCACCAAAAGTTTACCTCGTCAACGTGGTCTGAAACTAGCCTCTCTTAATTTCATTAACTCGACTACTCACATAGACGAGCTTAGGATATAATTCCTGGTGACACAATCGCGAATGGCGGGGGAGGGGTATGTTTTTATGTTAAAAAAAATAAATAAAAAAAAAAAAACTCAAAAAATTTTTTCGTTTGGAAAGACCTACAAATGGATGTCCTAGAAAAGCTCTGCTTGGATATTCGAAGGTCTAAATCAAAACCGGTTGTAGTTGTCACTTGGTATAGGCTACCAGACGCTAATATTGATATCTTTTCGCATTTCGAACCTCGGCAGTGAAAATGTTGAGTATTTGGTAATGGGAGATCTTAGCTGTAACGGGCTTCTACCCGATATAACAACAATACACTCAGGCTGATGAGTATTGCTGATGTTTATATACTCCATCAACTCATCTCAGAACCAACTAGACCTTGTAAGCAGGGTAACTGGGATACCTGGATGGTATTGGATCCTTGGAATCAAGTATAGTGATACTACGGGTGTCGGACTAGTATACTGAAATAGTGAGCTCAAGTCTGGCCAAAGGCATACACCTATTTCAAAAACATAGGCATGCTATGCATGCAAGAGTTATTTCTTGTAGGGTGGGTGGATTACTTGGAACATTGTAAGTGGTCTACATTCTTACAAAAGGAAAGAAGAGCATAAACACGGAAAAGAACTAAAATGTCGAATTACCTCACACACAGGTATTTTGTGGTTGATTACGTATGTTTTGCGATTAAATGTAACCAAAAATAAACTGTATTGGTGCCACGGATACCTGTTAGTACAAAATGCAGACAGCAGACTGCAGACCGGATACAAAATATAGACTGCAGACTGCAGAGTGGGTACAAAATGCGCGAATATATATAACGGCGTAAAATGCGACTAACACAGTCTATATACTGTAAGATTTTACGCCACTAACCCAGTCGGTAGATTAATTATAATAAATTAATATATAATGAAATTATATTACTGGCGTAAAATTTACATTATATATATCACCGACTGGAAGAAATTACGCCGTTAGTTACTGGCGTAAAATCTTCCATATAAGACAACCGACTGGAAGAAATTACGCCGTTAGTTACTGACGTAAAATCGTACATATAGAGACTACCGACTGGAAGAAATTACGCCGTTAGTTACTGGCGTAAAATCTTACAGTATATAATATACCGACTGGAAGAAATTACGCCGTTAGCTACTGGTATAAAATCTTACAGTATATAATAAACCGACTGGAAGAAATTACGCCGTTAGTTACTGGCTTAAAATCGTACATATAAACGCAACCGACTGGAAGAAATTACGCCGTCAGTTACTGGCGTAAAATCTTCCATATAAGACAACCGACTGGAAGAAATTACGCCGTTAGTTACTGGCTTAAAATCGTACATATAAACACAACTGACTGGAAGAAATTACGCCGTTAGTTACTGGCGTAAAATTTTCCCTATAAGACAACGGGGCGACCCTAAAAGCAGGAACGATGGAATGGCGGTGTGGCGGGAAATGACCCCAAATCCTAAAACATGGAACGGCAGAAAATGACCCTAGATCCTAAAACACGGAACGACGGAAAATCACCCAAATCCTAAAACACGGAACGGATGTCAGGGCATGTTGCACAAATTTTGCACAGATTTTGTACAAAAACACTCGAGCGCGTGGCTTATTCATCCCCACGACGATAATGCGCGGGACTAAAATTAAGTGTTATTAATTTTTTCCTTTCACCGAGTGGTATGAATAATAATGAACCATTATGCACGAAAGATAGCTGTGTTTTCTCGTTGTAAACCTGTTTAGTTACCTTTTGTCATGCTAAATTTGCCATGAGTTTTAGTCGCGGCATAAAAAATCGCACAAACCAAACCAAAGGATCCTCGACCGATAGCCTCTTTTTTGTCTCGCAACTGCTTCCATGCGAATAATGGTAAACGCCATGAGAAATTCCCACGCACGTGACACCCTGCAAACCTCTCTTCAGCTAGTGTTACTCAAGTCCCAAAACTTATTCGTGGATGAAAAAACGCTCGTTTTGAAGGGCTCGTAACGAGGGCTTGCTCTCACGCTAGTCTAAGTTTGGAGCTGAACGTTGTCATATTTTGAGAAGCCTGAAAACGTTCCTGTGATGTTCTCACATTTACAAGCATATGAGATATTACTCTTTCAATAAATCAATGTAGACTGGACCAGGAAACGTATCAAAGTTACAATTGTTTATTGTAATGTGGTATGTCAAGTTGGTTTTTTATTGCTATATTTTAGCCTAGATAAATCTTACCTATATCAATCAAAGTCAACATATTTCTAAATATATTTTGTTTTTTTTCCTCAGCAAACATATTAATAATGTATTTATAATTGAAATTTTGTTGTTAATGTACTATCATTATGAAGAAAGGGAAAGACTTACTAAACGCATATCTAGACGGCTTAAAAAAACGGTTTTTCCTCGACCTCTCCTGTTTACAATTAACCCTTTAACTCCAAAGATCTCATTGGCAATTCTCCCTACCGTCTGCCATACAATTCTTATGATGTCAATGATGTAGAGAATTTGGTATTAGATCAACTAATAATTATCTAATTGATATTTTTCTTTATTTTTATCACTCAGGCTATGCTTGATATTGTAAGAAGAAATTCTCTCTTGGTCACTCACGGGAGATAAAGGGTTAAGGAAATAA